TATTCTTTATGATTTTAATCATAAATTTATTGACACATGTTTTGTGGATCAGCATATGGTCTATCTTGATGAGTGTACCATCTGCACTTGAAAAGAATGTGTATTCTGTAGTTGTTGGGTAGATGTTTAATATCAATTTTGTTTAAATATCAATTGGATCAAGATGGTTGGTAGTATTGTTCAAATAATCTATATCTTACTGATGTTTTTGTGTACTTCTCTGTCAATTACTGGGAGAGAGGCTTTTATATCTCCACGTATGATTGTGGAAGTGTTTATTTTCCCTTTAATTCTGTCCGATTTTGCATCACATATTTTGAAGCTCTGTTATTAGGTATAAACAAATTGCTATTATGCCTTTTGATGAATTAACTCTTTTATCATTTTAAAAGATCCCTGGGTCTCATAATTCTCTTTGCCTTTGAGTGTACTTTATCTGATATTAATATAGCCACTCCAGCCTTTGTAAGCTTACTGTTTGTGTAATATATCTTTTTTGTTGTTAGTGCTAGCGAGTAGATTTTGACTCTAGTGACCCTGTGTGCAGCAGAGCAGAACCCTGCCCAGTCTTTTTGTGCCATCCTCTCATCTTGCAGCGCTGTAACAGACAATGCTCTGCTGCTATTTATAGAGTTTTCATGGCCAATTTTTTCAGAAGTAAGTGGCCAAGTCCTTCTTACTAGTCTGTCTGAGTCTGAAAGCTCCGCTGAAATCGCTCCACTACGTTTGACCCTGCTGCTATTGGAAATACCAGTGGCATATCTTTTAACATCACAGTAACAGGCAGCTGCCATAGTATGACAACTGCCACATGGGTGTTGTGGTTCCCTGACTGGGAAACGAACCCAGGTCACAGCAGTGAGAGTGCCAAATCTTAACCACTAGACCAGCAGGAGTGGACTTGTATATCTTTTACCATCCATTCACTTTCGGTTTTTATTTTATTTTATTTATCTTTTTATTGTGGTAACATTGGTTTATAATGTTATATAAATTTCAGGTGTATATCATTATACTTTGATTTCTGCATAGATTACCTCATGTTCACCACCCAAAGACTAATTACAATCCATCATCACACACATATGCCTAATCATCCCTTTCATCCTCCTCTCTCTCCCCTTCCCCTCTGGTAATCACCAATCTAATCTCTGTCTCTATATGTGTTTGTTTGTTGTTATTTTTATCTTCTACTTATGATTGAGATCATATGGTATTTGACCTTCTCCCTCTGACTTATTTTGCTTAGCATAATACCCTAAGTGTCCATCCATATTGTCACAAATGGCTGGATTTCATTGTTTCTTATGGCTGAGTAGTATTCCATGGTACCACATCTTCTTTATCCATCCTTGCCTTGACGGGCACTTAGGTTGCTTCCAAGTCTTGGCCATCGTGAATAGTGCTGCAGTGAAACAGAGGTGCATGTATCTTTATGCATGCATGTTTTCGTGTTCTTTGGTTAAACAGCCAGCAGTGGAATAGCTGGATTGTATGGTAATTCTATTCTTAATTTTTTGAGGAATCTCCATACTGTTTTCCATAGTGGCTGCACCAGTTTGCACTCCCACCAGCAGTGTATGAGAGTTCCCTTCTCTCCACATCCTCTCCAACACATGTTGTTTCCTGTCTTGTTAATTATAGCCATTCTGACGGGAGTGACCATCCATTTACTTTGAACCTATTAAAGTGTAGTTCTTGCAGATATCATATAGTTAGGTCTTGCTTTTTTATCCGTTTTGACAATCTTTGCCTTTTAATTGGAGTATTTTGTCCATTAACATTGAATGTAATTATTGATATGGTTGGATATAGATTTACTATTTTATTCTTTGGTTTCTGTTTGTCCCTCTGTTTTTTGTTCCTGTATTCTCATTTCCTGCATTCTTTTGACTTAATTTAATATTTTTTAGAATTCCCTTCAAGTTATTTTTTAGCTTTTTAAATATGTCCTCATTGCATTTTGTGTGTGTGTGGTTGCTCTAGGGATTACAAAGATTTACGTTCTTAACTCTTCGCAGACTACTTATAGCTAATATTGTACCACTTCATATACATTAAAGAAATATTACACCTGGATTACCAAATTGGTCCATTTGTAACCCCTTTCATCTTTTATGCTTTGATGTCATATGTATTACATCTACATATGTTATAAACTCCACAAGGCAGTGTTATAATTTCTGCCTTAGACAGTCAGATTTACTTAAGTTAAATTACTAGGGAAAAGGTAGTCTTTTGTATTTACCGAATATTTACCATTTCTGATGCTCTTCATTCTTTCCTGAAGATCCGACTTTCCAACTGGTATTTCCCTTCAATCTGAAGAACTTTCTTTTGTATTTCCTGTTTTGCAGGTTGGCTGGCAAAACATTCTCATAGTTTTAGTTTATCTGAGATACAGTTTGCCTTCATTCTTGAAGGATAATTTTTCTCGACATAGAATACTGGACTGACAGCTTTTTTTTCTTTTAGGCTATTCAAATATGGCTTTCCTGTATTTAATGTGTCATTTTTTTCTGACTGCTTTCAAGATTTTTTTCTTTATCATTGATTTTATCCAACTAGGGGTTCACTGAACTTGAATCTTTTGAAATTTTTGTCTTCCACCAAATTTGGGAAATTTTTAGCCATTATTTATTCAAATATTTTTTTGGTCCTTTTCATTCTCCTTGCCTTCTGGAACTCCAGTTATACATATACTGACATTTTGATATTTAGCCACAGATCCCTGAGACTCTGGTTCATTATTTTTCAATCCTTTTATTCTCTGTTCTTCAGATGGGGTAATTTTTACTGATCTGTCATTGTGTTCACTAATTCTTTCTTCTGTCCCTTCTGCTTGAAAGCACCATTCTACTTTTAAGCCTATCCAGTTAATTTTAAAATTTCAGACAATATGTTTTTCAGTTCTAGAACTTCAGTTTTGTTCTTTTTTATAGTTTCTATTTGAGCATATTTTCATGTCTTGTAATATAATTTTAATTGCCACTTTAAAGTTCTTGTCTTCTACTTCTATCATTTGAGTCACTTCAGAATTGGTCTCTGTCTATTGTTTGTTCTCCTGAAAAATGGATCATGTTTTCCTGTTTCTTTGTTTGTGAGGTAATTTTGAATTGTATCTGAGTCTTTGCTGTGATTAATATGTTGCAGAGACTCTGGATTCTGTTTTATTCTTCTGAAATATTTATTTTTGTTTATTTGCTTTAGCAGGCAATTAATGGTTAGGCTCAAACTGCAAACTGTGTCTCTTGGGCTGCAACTCAAATATTCAGTTATTTTACCCTTAGCTGGGATTTTCGGGGTTTTCTCTGCACAGGTCAGCCATATGTTTGAACTGAATGTATATATGGAATTTAGGGCTCCTCCTTTCTGACTCTATTCTTTCCAGAATCCCCCTCTCACTTTCCAGTGGCTTTGTTTACCTTGCACCCTCTCCACTGCTTTCTCAGGCCAAAAAGGCTGAAGATTTTTTATTAGAGTTTTAGTTGCCCTGCAGGTTATGGATTGAGGCTTACCCCCCGGCCAAAAGCTGCAACAAATGGGTAACTCACTAAGTGTCCATTCTTTCTTCTAAGTTTTGACTCCTTTCCAGAATCAACCTATTTTTGGTGCTTTTCTAGTGGTTTCAGGTGATTATGTATTTATTGTGTTTTTGTGTATAGTTTATAGTTGTTCTGTGCAAGAGGGCTGGTCTGATAGGTTACTCAGCCAGTATTGGAAGTAGAACCAGAATTTTCTTTCTTTCTTTTTTTTTTTTTGTGATGAAGATTAGCCCTGAGCTGAGATCTATTGCCAATCTTCCTCTTTTTGCTGAGCAAGATTGGCCCTCGGCTAACATCTGTGCCCAGCTTCCTCTATTTTATATGTGGGACACCTGCCACAGCATGGCTTGATAAGCGGTGTGTAGGTCCATGACTGGGATCCGACCCTCCAACCCTGGGCTGCTGAAGTGGAGCGTGCAAACTTAACCACTACGCCACTGGGCTGGCCCCAGAACCAGAATTTTTTAAGCTAAAAATGGTTGGAAAATATGGTGTGGTGAAGTACAATCTTAATGGTCATCTTATTATTTTAAAATATTCAGGAAAAGAAGAGAGATTATGATGTATATAATACACACACACACACACACACAAATGTAGTAACTGAAAGAACTGATTTTTCTAACTCCAAAGTCTGCTTAATAAAACATTATATTAGAATACATTTCCCTTGTAAGTATAGATAGTTTACCATATGTCAGAAGAAAATTCTTAAGGTTAAGATATATATGTAGGGAAGTTAAGCTTCTGGGGTTTATTGTGACTATTTTCAGGGAAGTTATATTAGCAGCCATTACGTTTTAGCACTTGTACAGGTTGCTGAAACCTTGGGCTTATTTCCAAGATTAAGTTCTGTGGTGTATTGTACATCTAATGTTTTTTGCTTCTGATATATATTTTGTTTTGATTCAGTTAATAAAGTAAAGATCATTTACAGTGTCAAAGTCCTCAAAATGATCAATTTATGATTTAAAAATTTTTTGATGGATACTTTCCAATAAAATTTCCACTTTCTAGGAAATGTTCCTTTCATGTTTCCTCTTTACTGTTTTTTTGGTTTTTTTGTTTTTACCGTTTAGGTTCTTTGTGAAGTAGGAGGCAGAATCTATGCTTTGATTTTGCTTTAATCTCTGTGCCAATGGTTTTCCTCCCTGCTCTATCTTCTTTACTTAGTATTTCTTTCTTTTCTCTTTAAAAAAATTATTTTTGTATTACCTTTAATTTTTTAATCCTTATGTATAGTTGGAAAGAAAGATTAGGAATGTTGATTACTTATTTGATTTTTTTTCTCTTTACTGCTGCACATTATACATTTGCGTAGCTCTTATCCTTTCTTCTTAGGAGTTGTAAAATATTTTAAATATTTTGCTCAATATGTAGGGAATTTGAAGAAGTAAAAGCAAGGACTCTGTATACTCTCATTCTGTTGGGAAGGTCCTGCTTGTTGAATTTTAGGTATTTCAAGATGTTCCAGTCAACTGACAAGGACTTCTCCTCACAGTGTCAGAACTGTAGTGATGATGAGAGTAATGCAACTAGCAAATAGTTCTGGTATGTAACCACTTTTGCATGTTTACTTCACCAGAAAACTCTGTGGAGTACAGTGGTATCCTATATTCCATGTTAAAAATTTGGAAAACCATTTGCATGCTTTCAAAGTAGATTTTGAGGTAATAGTGCTAGTCAAAGAATGGAGAATATATTTTAATCAGGTCTAAAGTTCTGTAAAGATTAGTATATCTTCATATCTTAACTCTTCTAGACAAGGAAAAACGAAACTTCAACTTGCGTTCTTAGAACTTTCTGAATAATATGATAATTGATTAAACTCTAGGTTTCAGTGTATTTCTTATTGTAAAGGCATTATGGTATTATATGCTTTTTTAGTAAAATAGCATTCACAAATGTAAACCATACTCCTTTTTTTGTATAGCTTATCAGTGGAGATTTATTTGCTTTTTACATCTTTTAAACTAAATTCTTCAGTTCTTAAGTTTTATAGATTATAAGTATATTTTAGAAAATGTATATGCAGTTTGTAGTGTGTTTCCTTGGACAGTCTGGTTGTATTAAATCTTGAGAGCAGAGCAGGCCACGGTGTGGGTTCTTCTTTGTAGGTTATCAGGTAATTCTGTTGGATTGGATGAAGGTAGAATTCTCTGCCATTTTACCATGGCTTATTCTTGTACTTATACAAATGGTGAGGTAGTTATTATTATGAGATTAGGTAAGTTGCTTCTTTGTAATAATTATTAATTTTTAGATTTAATGACGGCACTTGAAGATATTTACTTTGATATATACTTGGGAAAACTTTGTGTGTTTGTTATGACATACATTATGAATAGTAGTTAACTTGTTGAAGAACACCCTGCTTTTCTTGGGTTGTTTTATTATGTAGAATATTCTTTATTATCCAGTAGTACAGGTTTCAAAACCCAAAATATTCAGTATTTGATCAAGGGAGATGAATTAAGGAACAGAAGACAAGCTGGTGAAGTCATTGTTATAATACATTGCTTTAAAAATATTATTTTCCTATTTTTAAAGGACATCTAGATCTATTTGAATATTCTTTTTTTCCCATTATCAATGTTTGTTTGGATATATTTCTTAAGTCATCTAGGGTTGCCATCTTCAAGAAGGGCAGCTATAGTTCTGAAATTTCTTTTTTTTTTTTTTAACTGTAATTAATGTAAACAGGCTCATTATATAGATGCAATGACTTAAAAAACAAAAAGCAGATGATTTACCCAGGAGTATAGAGTCCATGGCAGGCTTGTAACTAAAACTCAGTTTTGTTCTCTAGCTTTGTGATTTAGTCCATATCAAGTAATATTTTCTGTATGGATAGCTTTGGTCCATTAACCTAAAGATAATTTATGAATAAACTCTGATATTCTCCCACTTTGTAAATCTGCTGGTATTTTCTTCGATGTAATAACAAAGGAATTATGCTATAGTAACTAATTCTTGCCCCACACCCTTTTTTTCCCTTTAGAAAAATTGGAAGCTCCACCACCCACCCCAGGACAGCTGAGATATGGTAATGGTTCTATAATTGTTACATATGTGTGCATCTATCTTTTGGATTTGAAATAACTATATCATTCATTGATAGTACAGATGTCAGTAAACTAAGTCTTTCTAGATAGAGTGGATTATCCTATTTATTATGATGAAGCAAAAAGTTTATAAACTTGGCTTAAGACATATTGCAATATTATGGAATTTTTAATATTGTTAACCATATCTAATATTGTTTAAATATTGTTACCATCTAGAGATAGAATTATACTTAAAGGAGAGGTTTTCTTAATTCCCAGGAAGAAGGATATGTTTACTTTAGTTTGGATTTAGGTTGGGTAATTACAGAACTAGAATTTCTAGGCTCAAGGCTAACTAAGTACAGCTGTTCTCTGGTGGAGACGATACTTCTGGGTTGCTGTTTGTAATAATGAAGAAAGTAAAGTTCATTTAAAACCACCAGGAAGAAGAACCTTACAATGCTGCTGGTGTGCTTTCTTTACTCTATTGTGATAGGAATAAAAATCCAAGGGCTAACATTGAAGTGATGGAAACAGTTTGGGATCTTATTGTAAAGACAATAAGAAGAGAATTATTTAATGGTGCAGTGAATTTGAGTAGGTTGTAAGTTAAACCTAAATATTAGATATGATTTGCTAACAACTGCTGAGTTATGGAATAGTAGGAGATCCTTAAATACTGGAGAGAAAACTTATGTAATTTTTAAAAACCCTATTGAATAGCCAGTTCTTTTTTCTCACAGAGGTAGCATGTAATTTATATTAGAAATAAATAACTTTTCCCAATACCAAAACAATTTAAGAATTCTTTAAGACTTCTTCCCCAGGTCATCTTTCCTGATTCTCCTAGCCTAGATTTATACAATCTATATGCATAGCACTGTATAATACTATTATCATTTTCCTTTGGTCATATTGAAATTGTGTTCACACGGCTGTGTTATCATACCCAAACTTCTTGAGGTTGGTAACCAAGTCTTATTTATCTTTGTATCTTAAGTGTCCAGTGGAGTGTCCAGTACATGTTTATTTAACTTCTTGAAAATTATATTTTTTCCTTTGGGTTGAAAATAAATTTTTATTTATAGGACACATTTATTTATGTCTAAACATAAAAACATGATATATTTATAGTTCAAAGTGATTATTATAGCAACGTGCCTTGGTTTTGCCGACCAAGTTTTTACTAGGATAGTAATTAGTCTAATCTTAATTTAGTAGCCTTAACAACTAATTTTAAGATATTTGTAACTGGCCAGTTTTAGAGATGGCATCAAATTAACTCCAAAATGTTAAGTAATCCCAAAGGATTCATAGTTACTTTGCCATATTTACATTTGAAAGACGATTGAGAAGATGAATCAAGACTTCTCTGCAGAGATGTGTTTAAAGTAACGCTCTCTTCACTGTAAACGTTTCATTTAGTGAATTTTTAAAATTTCATTATACTGTTTTGACCTATCAAGTTTGTATTATGTTTTTTGAAAATTAGGATTGTGTACATGTTTTGGAAGCTGCTTATTATAAAATTTTGAATGTCTAGTAGTTAAGTGACTAGACTTAGGCAAAAAGTCAAAGAACTAAGATTAGACTCTTTAATTGAAAAATCCCATTTCATTAATGTGCTATTTGATTTTTATTATCTTTAATAGCTTTTAAAATAATAGTCTTTATAATTAAAAGGGTGATGCTTTTTAACTCGAACATTTTTACTTGATAACAAGAAGAAATTTGAAATGACCTAGGATATATACTATTTATACTATTTTCCTTTGACCTTAGTCTTTGATAGTGGTTATAGGTAGAAGTGGTGGTTTGTTTTTTGGGTTTTTTTTACTGCTTATTAGCTTTCCCTGATTGGTATAGAACTATAGTAATATCAAACTTTCATAACTTCTGGATTATATTTTAATTATACTTTCTGTGAACTTAACTGCATTAAAAGAAAAAAAGACTCTCAAGTCACTAGGTACATATAACCAATTGGTTTAAGGGACTGTTTTTTGGATGTGATATAAAACTCAGAGCTTTGATGTTTATCTAAAAAAAAGTCCTCAGTTGCACTGATGTTGACTATACCTTGGCAGTTTTATAAATTAATTAGAATAAAGTCTTTTAACTATCCCCAGTTTTGAATCTGTTTCACAGTCTGCCTTCAATTCTCTCAATCTGGAATTCTCTTCCTTTCCAGGTTAGTGGTCCTCAATTTACTTAACTAATGTTTATTGAGTATCTCCTATGTACTAGGCAGTCTGCACTGTGCTGAAGATGCAAATATGAAATAAATGAGGCTAAATGTATAAAAAATATATAGATATTAGTTCTTCCTAGTTACAGTTCTGTTATCTCAGGTCATTCAGATTATGTACTAGATAGATGAGATAAGATGTGCCTTTGGTAGGAAGAAGCCAAGTTACATTTTGATTTAAATCAAATATTGTTTGTTTATAGTTTGTGAAAGTGTTCAGGGATACCAATATGTTGTTGAAGGGGAAAAAAGACTGTACATAGATATCCAATATAGATAAGATAGTCACATTTTTCATTAGAAAAAAATCACATTTTTGTTTGAAAAATTGTTGAGTGAGTAAAAGTAACCAAATAGATTCCCTGAATTTTTTTTTTCTTTTGTTTATTGCGGTAACATTGGTTTATAGTATTGTATAAATTTCAGGGAATTTTTTATTTCTAATATGGAGATCAATTTTATGATATCAATCTTTGGGTATAAGAGAGAAACATTGATGTCAATAGCAATTAAACAGGTAAAACATGGTACTCATACTATGTATGTACTTATTTGTTCTGCCGTTAACTGTATATAATTTGTGTGTATGTGTGTGTTGCCAGTGAGAAAACACAAAAGCCTAACACAAGTATTTTTACATGACATGTGTTTTTTATTTTGTTTTTTTCCCTGTATAGCTTCTACAAATAGCTAAACTTATATCAGGAGCAGAATCTTTTTCCTATGGGGAATGGAAAGCAGATTCCAAAGCTTATCAAGTCTATTTAGGAGACTTTAATCATATGGTCTGTTTTTGTCATTTTAAAATTATAGAAATCTTAAAATATATTTTTCTGTTTTTGATGTTTTTCAGTATTCATCCACAATGCGATACCTTTCATAGGGTTTGGCTTTTTGGATAATGCAATTATGATTGTTGCAGTAAGTTCTTTCTCTCACTCCTTTTATTTTGAGTTAATAAATTAATGTGGTCTAAATTTTCCTCATTATTTGTATATTGTAGCTGTAAAGTTTTAATTAACATCACAATGCATGAGGCTATTTTTTACTACATGTTAGTTAGACTAAAGCTCAATTTTAAAGCATCATATGTATTAATCATTAAGATTTTTGGTAAAGCATTGACAATAATAAACATATTTATTGGGTCTATATTATCCTGTTTTAGTTTCAACATTCTGATTAAAGTATGTAAAATTTTCTGATGTTCTTTAATTGTATCGGCAGTTCTCATCACATATATGTATGTTATTTGACTGGTTCCTCGTTCACTTTTTCCATGCAAAAATGTTTTAAAGGGTGTTTTGATATACAGTCTATCCATTTAATCCAAAGATATTTTAAGTTTCAATTCAGAACACTGTGTATATTTCCCTCTTCTGTCTTTGTTCCATTGGAATGTTAAAAAAAAGTTCTCCTTTGCTGCACTCATTTTAATGTAAGGATGTTCTATAAAAGTGTTGTTTAGTCTCAGGGATGGCTGATTTACCTTTCTTACTGTTACGTGACTCCCTTTGTTAAAGGATATCAATATTGGGTCCAGATTCTAAAGTCAGAAATAAGTCCATAATTAAAATGCAAGCCTCCTGAAACTGCTCAGTGCTCTAACTACTTTTCTTTGCCGATTCTAACTTTAAAAAAATTCTATAAATTCTAGCTATTGTGTAGGAGACTGCTCGAAAAAAAGGAATAATTTTAGGATTATTGAATGTGAGGAAAGTACATATGAGAGATGCGTGGTTTTTTTTTTTTTTTTGGTGTTTTGGAGGTCATGTATACTACAGATGGACATAAATAGAATATTTGTTTTCAAAATAGGGATAAAAGTATAATTTACGTTGTATAGATTATAGATTTGCCTAAAGAATATCTGAAATTGGTTCATTCAAGAATGGTTTTCTTTGCTGTATAGTCTCACCTTGTGTCCAGATTGATGGGGATCAGATATCCGGAAAGTCTAGCCATTCAGCTGGTTGAGGAAACTTACAGGGTTCACACAGCAGGAAGATATACTGCTTCATAAACAGTTATGGAAGATATTCTAGTATGCACACAACTTGAAAATGATAAACACCCACTGGATAATTCTTTAGCAGAGTGGTCTGGCAAGAGCCTCGAAAATATAATTTCAAAATGCTAGTTTCTTGACTGATTATGACATTTTCCTAATAGGTATATAAGAATCAGATTGGCCAATTTATGTATCTGTGAATGTGAGAAACTTATTCAACCATTTAGAGCCACCTTTTCTGAAATTACTAACATCTGAGTGAGTTAGATTATTTAAATAGTTAATGTAAATCAAATCTAATTGTAAGAAAATGCTATTATGTTGAATTTATAAGCTCTGTTTAAGACTTTGATGTGTTCTTGAATAGATTGAATTAAAGCTTCTGTGTGGCAAATATTTCTTTCAATTTTATGTGACTCAATATTTTGATTCTCTTTATTGATGGCTAGTACCCCCCCATACTACCATCTTAATAATCATTTGTTTTTTCCACCTCAATAGGGAGGACTTTAGATATTCAAATGCTGAAATACTGTCCTTGCTACAGGGAAGTGTTGAGTTGATATATTTAGCATAAAGAGGGGTGCAGGAAGATTTTGAAGAGAGATCAGAATAGGAAAATTGGGTAGCTTCTTAGATACTGAATAAGACCTTCACAGTGTGGTCATCTTTTTTTTGAAATAAATATCTAAAGTAAGAGATATCTTTGTTTAAATACAGCTACCAACAAAACAAAACACTCACATTCTAGAGTCAAATTATTGTAATATTGTTTAGTATTTTGTGTTACTCAGGCCCGTGTCTCATTATTAGTAACACTGAGAGTAGACTGTTTTTCCAGGCTAGAGATAGTTGACTCCAATTTAGTTTTTCTAGTTTACGTTGAAATACAGTTTCAGGGACTTATCACTAGTTTTTTATTTATATAATACTCAAATAAATGTTTAAAATACTAGCTTCAATACCTGATTAATAGGTGTGGCAAAAATATTATCCTGTGATAATTGCAGACTAATTCAGGGACAGTGATATTTTCCAAAGAGGCTTTGTAATAGACTGCTGAGACTAACATACAAGAATAATATAACTATAGAATCTGTGAAAAGGGAAATAAGTGATCCTTAGTATCTTGAGAATGTTTTTCACCTTTTTATTTTTTTTAAACACTAATTGCCTCCTAACATTGTGGGACAGCCATGACTGTTTTAAGATAGTAAGTTATTTAATTCTTTTCTATTATGCCATAGACATTTGATGTTTTCCTCTTTTCTGTTAGGTGTGCTCTCATGGCTGCTACCCTAGTTATAGTCATAAAAACAAATTCCTATATAACTTCTTGTAATAGATTTGACCTTTATTGTTGGCTGCTGTTCATACTAAGCCTTTGGTTTCATAGTTTTTAATTGTATTTTTATATTATTGGGATTGCATTTTATGACATATTTTAGTGGTTTTTAAAAATTATTTTTCCTACAATTTAATTAGGTTAGAATTTATTAGAATTCTAGAGTAGATTAATTTAAGTAAGGTGATGAACCAGATATAACTTTAAGACAACTAGTATTAGATTTATTTGTAATTTCTACTTCACCTGTTAACATGAAATTTGATGTAACTATGGGAAAAGTAAAGGAGGGGACAGTCCATTGCCTTCAAATCAACTTTGACTTTATATGAGGTTTTTCATGCTATTAGAAGGAACTTCAGCTTTCTTAAATTCAACCAAATGATTAAGCACTTCAGTACTTTTTGAATACATGTAACCAAATGATTAAGCACTTCAGTACTTTTTGAATACATGTATTGCAAACAGGTTCTTCTTGGGTCACTCCTAATAATTCATTGCTGGTAAAGATGCTGTATTTATTTTTTATACACTGTAGCTCTCAGGTGCTTCCCTTCTATATTAATGCTCCAGTTATTTTTTGTTTTTGTTTTGCATTCGTATATAAAGATACACATCTTCATTCTTTGTGCCTGTTCTTTTCTTCTTCAGAAATCTATTTCTTTGGTAATTCTTTACAAGTAATTTTGAGTGCCTGGGAGACTTCTGTACATCAGGCTGTTTGGTCCATACTCTACAAGAATTGTATTACAAGGGTTGGAACCAAAAGGCCTAGGGGAACGAAAATTGAAGAAAACTTAACTCAGCTTCTCTTTAGTTTTGTAAATAATTGAGTAATGCAATATTTCTATGTACCAGATAGGGTGTACTTTTTTTTTTCCTCCACAAACGTCACTGAGATTTAAAAATTTTTTTAGAAATTTTCAAGCATCAGTATTCAACAGTGCTTTTGAAAATTAAGTCCACTATGGCAGCATTGCCCAAGGATTAGAACTGAATTAGCACAATAGATCCTAGGATATCTTCTTTATTCTTTGTAATAACCCATTAGCATAGTTTAGTCTTTTTCAATTCATTGCCTTCTCTTTAAAGTAGAAGTAAAAATATGAGCCCCTCTTTTCTTCAGAAGAATGAGATAGATGTGGACAGTCATAAATTCTCTCAATAAATAAATTCGGTGGAAATATAATGCAGCCTCATTTTTGCTGTAGCTCTATTGTATTAAATGCTATTGTTGCTTATAAATGAATCATGTGGTCTCACTAGTTAAAGAACTAAGGGTTAGAGGGATAATTTTTTTTTGTGAGGAAGACCAGCCCTGAGCTAACATCTGTTGCCAATCCTCCTCTTTTTGCTGAGGAAGATTGGCCCTGGGCTAACATCCGTGCCCATCTTCCTCTACTTGATATGGGACACCACCACAGCATGGCTTGACAAGCGGTGCCTTGGTGTGTGCCTGGGATACGAACCTGCGAACCCCGGGCCACTGCAGCGCAGTGCACGCACTTAACCACTACGCCATCGGGCCGGCCCCTAGAGGGATAATTTTTGAAGTCTATGATCTTTTGGGTTCCTAGAAACTGGTTTAGTCTGTCTTTTTAACCCTTTGTAGAGTAAATAACAGTAGTATAGATGTATCATTCAGATTTTAAAATTTAGGTGAGTTGGTTGTCTTTGTGTTCAAAGAGCTTTAAAACTTATTTCTCTGTGGTAGGAAAATATAAATTCTGGATTCTTAATGACAAATTGTATTGCTGTATGTTTTGCTATTTTTTATTTTTATGAAAGCCTAATTTTAATAAAATATTGATATTATTTCTGCATGAATGCATATATTTAATAATTAAGTGAATTACTGAGTTACATGTACATATTTCTGCATATTTTGTGTATATAATTTTGCCCCAAGGACATGTTTAACTATTTTATTTGTTTTTATTAATACTTTGCTATTCTTTTACAGACGCTTCAGCTTTAATTTTTAAGATTAATTTCTTTGTATCATTTTTCAGGGAACCCAAATTGAAATGTCTATTGGAATTATTTTGGGAATTTCAACTATGGCAGGTATTTAGTAATAGTAATGTTATTATTCCATTGTCTGTATATTTATAAAGCATTTCAATAGGTTAGGTTTAGAAGAGGATAATTTATTTGAATGAGTTTACTCATTGAGATGTCTGTTAATTTATCTCCTTAATCCTATTACTGTAATTCTTAATTTTGTGTATGTAGCACTTTTTTTGGTGAGAAAATTTGGGTTCTTTATGTTAGTTAACGGGTAGCAATAATCTGCTATATTGATTATGTTAAGAAAAGTTTTTCTCATAATTCAGTGTTACCCTAAAACCTTTCTACCCTTTTCTCTATTACATTATTTATTTTCAAGTCGGGTAGAAAAATCAAAGAAGGAAATACAAGACTGAAAATCTAATTTGGTTCTATCTTCTTTCCCTCCAATAACCACTCTATTCTTCATGATGGTGAAATTTGGGGATGGTTCTGTGTTGTGTTTATTGTATAGAACACATCAAGTAGATGAGTTAATGAAAGAGACATCTTTTCTGCTTGATTTTCTTGAATTTCAGAGCTGTACATATGGCTATGTACTCTTTAACTTCCAAATATCCAAATTTTCTTAAACAAATATTAGCTGCAAGTTACAACTATAAAATATTGTACAGGTGTTTTAATATTGAAATCAAAATGGAAACTGGCTGCTACCACAGAAAAAACCTACTACTTGTTGGAGGTAGAATACTCTACTCTCAGAAGCATTGTGTTCTATTTTGAAATCTTGAGATTCATAGCTAGCCAATGAGTTACTTTGGATATAGTCGTTGTAGTTTGAGAAATGTAATAACTCTTCCAGGCCAGTGCTTTGTTGATTATATAGTGATGTATTATAGTGATTTTTCTGACTTCCATGTAACAACTCACTTGTCCATTTTCATTTTTTTAGCTGCTGCTTTGGGAAATCTTGTGTCAGATTTAGCTGGACTTGGGTATGTTCATTCATTTATTCATTTGTGCGTGTGTGTACTTACTTGCTCTTTTTCTCTTCTCCATTCGCCTTTAATTGAGAAGCGTATAAAAAAAGGGACATTTATTATTTATGTCTTTTAGAACTAAATTTTTTAATTTACTATTTCTAAATCAGTAATATTAAATCTTTGGTGTGCATCAAGTATAGATGCCTGGGTCACACCCCATCGTACAGAATTAGTGTCTCTGGGGATGGGGCCCTGACAGTTGTGTTTAATAATCTTCTCAAGCAATTCTGATATTAGCAAAAATTTTTTTATAAAACTACTATAATGTAAGCAGAGTTGAATTTCATTTACTGAAGTATTTATATGTATTTTATAGACATTTCCAAGGGTGAGAAGATTCAAAGTAAGAACCCCTATCATTATTCCAGCCCACCCTCCTCCCATTAAGCCCAAATATAAGAGATATGGGTCAAATGTGAGGATACTGACTGGGCATGTTTTTTAGAAAGAGGAACTTTCAAAAGGAATAATGGCCAAAGCATACATGGGTTTGGCTAGTTTTTGCTCTTTTTATTCCTTGTGGCAGGAATGATGAAATAAACTGAGAATGTGTACTTAGAAAAGGCCTCTTTCTCTCTTTCTGATTTTACACTCTCTCTTCCAAGTGGCAGATGGCCTGGGCTGCTTCCTGAGCTTGGGGAAGCCTGGAAAGTGTAAATTAGACTAAACTGGCGTTGATTATTGTGATAAACATACTCTCTCTTGCTCAGTCTTTGGTTCTATTTCTTCCTTTCTTGGTTCCTTAGAATGGTGAGTTTTGGGATTTGGATTTGAGTCTAGAAGAAGTCGACTTAGCCCTATAATCTAAGCAAAGGCAGCTTTATAAGTGATCTAACCCTATATACTAGTCTTCTGTACTGGAGTCTGGGGCCAAAGCTACTGTTAAAAACCAAGTTTGTTTGCTCTGGGCCAAGACAGAAACTTTATATTCCTGGAATTCCTGGCATAAATCTATAAGGATATCACCCCTTAAACATTCCATTTTCCAGTTTCCAACATTGGGGTTCATAATGATAATATTATAGCTACTATGATAGCTTTCTGTATTTAATAGAAGCAAATGATCTAATAGATTTTAAGGTCATTTAGTTTAAGATCACATCATAAAATAGTTATTTTTGATTAGAGATAAAGATTTTATTGAGAGTCTATATTTAAGAACTATTTCTCCCCTGCCTTTTAAAAAATATCATTAAATAACAAATAGCACATTTTATCAATTCTTAGATGTACAGTTTTTTTAGAACTTAACATATCTGACTTTGAGATCCATCTTATAATTGATGGTATGCATAGTTTAATTGGCAATTTTTTTCTTTTTTACAGTTCATAAAGTAAGATTGTATCCAATAAATGATGGCGATTTAGAATTGATAAATATTTGAGATTGCCCTAAAAATTCTAGGCTGTTTTTCTTAGTATATAAATCTGATAAATTTTGGAAATTTTTGCTTTCTGATGACAGTTTTTAATTTATATCGTATGTTAAAGTGCTTCGCTTTGAATTTGGAATAAGTGCATTAATTGTAATTGCTGTAAAAATTTTTTATATACCTTGAATCGATCTTTTTAAAGCAATGGTAGAGAGTAATTGCTTTAAGTCAATTAATTTACCTATGTATTAAATATATTAATATGAAAATTTTTTTTTTTTTGTGAGGAAGATTAGCCCTGAGCTAACATCTGTTACCAATCCTCCTCTTTTCTTTTGCCCTGGCCCAATCTTGCTCTACTTTATATGTGGGACACCTGCTACAGCGTTACTTGATAAGTGGTGCATAGGTCTGCACCGTGGATCTGAACCTGCCAACCCTGGGCCGCAGAAGCGGAGCGTGTGAACTTAACCGTTACACCACCAGGCCGGCCCCATGAAAATATTTTTAAACTGGATGTATTTATACACAATAAAAAATGAAAGTTGTAAAAAAATGTTTACACCATTTCTAGAGTGCCAATTACAGATTTCTCTTTGTAGTAATTAGTTTTTACAATCTGAGGATGTTTTTGTCTCTCTTTAAAAACTTATATTCCGTCCTCTTGTATTTTTAAAGACTTGCAGGCTACGTTGAAGCTTTGGCTTCCAGGTTAGGCTTATCAATTCCTGATCTCACACCAAAACAAGTTGACATGTGGCAAACACGTCTTAGTACACATTTGGTAAGTACTTTATGTGATTTATGACAATGAATTCGAGTAGCCAGAGCAAGACACTGTATGTTTCAGTCTCTTGAGAAATTTGAGATTAAAATTCATTTGAGTGGAGTTTTTAACAAAAATTTTCCAAACGTTGGCAGTTTTCGGAAGCACAGTAATTTTTTTATGGACTCTTTATTTTTTGTAGGTATATTTGATTTTTTAAAAATTCTTTATATGATTCAGTTAATGTTGAGGAGTATCAGTTATGTGTTAGGGACTGAAGGACATAAAATGAATAATACACTATAGTTCTTTTTGAGAATTGTTTAGGTGGAGAACCAGACATAATTGTTTATAATGTAAACAATTTATAATTTAGTGACATATGCAGGCGTAGAATTATGCACTAGATATAGCAATAGCACAAGTAAGAGAATTAATACTTTGTGGGGAGAGATTTCTTTTGGTGGGGAGATTTCATGGCAATTATTATATCTAAGCCAATTTTTTAATTATCGATGAGACATTTACTAGGTGAACAAGAGAATTCCAAGTATATCGACTAGCAAGTAGAAAAGCATGATGAAAACAAGGTGTGTTCAGAGAAATACAAGAAATTAGGTATTACTGGGATATAATATATAGTAGTTGTGGATGGAAGCAGCAGTAGAAAACAGCATTGGAGAAGTAAGAATGGATCAGACAGGAAAGGTACTTTCTGTCTATCTATAAACTGTGCTAAGGAACTTGAACCTCATACCTAGGTGCTGGAGTGCTAGTGAAGAATTTTAAATAGGAAGGAAACTGGGTGGATCACCATGCCACCAATTAAGTCAAGAAGTAAAGGAGGAAGAACAAGTTTGTAAGGGAAGATAATGAGTTCTGTCTTGGGCATGTTGAATTTGAGATGATAGTAGGACATTCAAGTAGTGACACCTAGTAGGCATTTGGGTTAAAGGTCAAGAGTTAGAGAGGTCTGAATTAGAGATGATGGGCATTTTCAGTCATTCATTCAACAAGTACTTATTGTTTACCTACTGTATGCAGGGTACAGATCTAGGGGTTTTGAATATATTGGTTAACAAAACAAGATTTTTTTTCTAGTGATCTTTCTAGCAGGGAAAAGATAGACAATTTAAAAATCTGGCAAATAAAATATTTAGTATATTAGCAATCCACAAGTGTTATGGGAATTAAAGAAAAAAAGAAAGCCAGGCAGGGTAAAAGAGTTTGGGAGTGCTAGGATGGAGACAGATTGCAGTATTAAATAAGAGGATCACTGCAGACCTCCCTGAAAAGGTAGGTGATAGTTAAAACCCTGGGAGAAGGTGAGATTGTATACGGCAGTGGTTCTTGAAGTGTGATGCCAGGACCAGCAGGATCAACAATACCTGGGAACTTGTTAGAAATGCAAATTCTCAGGCTCCACCTTAGACCTATCTATTGCTATGTAACAAATTATATATATATATGTCCATATCCTGCAATTTGCAGGTAAATTGAGCTAAAACTAGCTAGCTAATACCAGCCAGAGTTGTTCAAGAATAAGGATAATCTAACATTCTAGCAATTTGGCTTAACGTTTTAGCACTATAGTTGGGATCAAGAGATTTTTTTCCTGGGGTCTCCTCTTCTCACTAATTGATAATTCTCTTTTCTTTCTATATCATAAGCAGATCCATTTCCCTTCTTCTATGACAAAAGCACTTCATTACTGAATTAGTGTGTGTGTGTGTGTATGAGTGTGTGTATATATATATATATATATATATATATACACACACACACACACATATATATTAGTATACACATGTACTATTAGTATATATACTAGTATATATGGTATATAGTATATATATATGTACACTATATATATATATATATATGTTGTGTGTGTGTGTGTGTGTGTGTGTGTATTTTGCTAAATCTCCCACCAGCATGTGGAGTGATTCTATGCCTTAGTTGTTGACTCTGCTTGTTTTATGTTAGGATCAAATCTTCTACTCTGTAACATAATGTTTGGTTACAAACAGCCTAAAGTAGTTGAACTTAGTGATCAGCCATCTATTCATGACATAAACTGATCTGAAATTTACCCGTAATAGAATATGTGCCAATACACATGCAAGTTCCAACTGACATAGGCTGTATTTTAAAACCTCATTTGTAATTTGGTTGTTTGAAACTTGGAAAATACTTTCTTGCAGAAAATATTACACATGTACTCAAGTTCTCAGGTTAGCCCCAATGTAGTTAACTATAGAGCCTAGAGTATCACAAGACCTGATAATAACATATAAGTAACTTTTTACAATGGAAAAATATGTTTCAGGTCCTGGATCAGGGAGCCAGAAAAGGATATCTCACTTCTTTCCTGCCTCTCCTCCCTCTTGACTTTATGTCTTGTTGAGATAAATGGGTCGGAACTCATTGACTGGCATTCCTAAAGTGAGTGGGGAGGAAAGCTTTGGTTTCCATGGATGATAGTAACAGGCATTCTAACAGAATGGATGGGAAGAGGAAGTGGAGCCTATTAGCAATGGTCATTTCATGTATATGGGGAAGTCAGCAATCTAAAATAGAATATAGTCTCTGTAAGCATATGTAAATGAATATAAATGTTATCCAAGGTCAAAATAAGAATCTACGGTTAACTTTATCAGCATCTGGAATGAAGAAAATTTCTGCTTATTAGAACTCTGTAGGAATGATACCTTTTAAAATTTGACTTGATGAAAATGACAGATCTGACTATCAATATAAAGCGTGAGCATACCTCCATACCACCACTACCAATAGCAACAACAAACCAAAAATAATAGAATTGAAAGTTTTTTATGCAAGCTGTTACCAGAACATTAATGTCTACTGTTGAAATTTATTAGAAAAACTGTGGATCTGATAGATAAATGGACAATGTATAGGAAAAGACATTTTATTCAAGACTGTAGATTATGTAGCTATTGTAGCACCTATAATATTTGACAGAACTTACTTTGTTTGTCTTTATATTAGTAACTGGAAGTTCCTGGAGGAGAGAGACAGACTGCATCTGATCAGTCCCTGTCTCCCTGGTACTTAGCAGAGTTTAGCACATAGTAGATTCTCTATAAATGTTTATATGAAGAAATGAAATTTAATTGAAAAGTGTTTAACCTTAATAGTCATCACAGGAATGCAAATTTAAAAAACCAGTTACAAAAATGAAATTTAAAAAATTTTCATGATCTAGATGAGGCTGCAGAAAAATTGATATGTATATATACATATACATATATTGCAATTGGTATATATGTGTTCGCAGTTTTGTCTAGAATTGACAGTATGGCAATACCCTAAGAATATGCACAAATAGTCATATTATTTGATTTTTAAATAAATCATTGAGGAAGAATTATATACAGAAATGTTTATTGTTATATCATTTAAAATGGTGAAAAAGTAGCAATGATTTTTAATGGTAAAGAGAGCTTTAAGTAGATTATAGGCTCATCAGTTCAGTGGAATTTGGAAGTTTTTATATTAAGCTCATGAAACAGTTTGGAAAAGAGCTTATTATAACGTGTGGCTCTGGGGTGAGGAGTGAGGTTTACATAATGATTAAACCTACATATAATTAGGTATCCATGGGGATAAATATTGAAAAGGAATATGTACAAAGCGTAGCAAATCAAAATATATTGGAGTACTTGGTGAGGTTTTTTCCTTTCTTCCTATCTTCTGACAGTAAAATATGTGTACAATTTTTAAGAAGTGTTTTTCTACTTGAATATTTCCTTGATGTTATTTTTATGGCAATTTGAAAAAAATCTTCCTGGTTGCTATGAACTTTAAGTATTATTTGTTCTAGAACCTTTTTGTAGCTTATTTTAATATTTAACTTACTATGATCAAAAGAAATGTAGTCACAGTTGAATTTGATAGCACATAGTAATTGTTTATTATAGATACTTAAGCAAGCATTCCTCTTACAGGGATAAAATAACTTTAAAAAATGTTTTCTTTTGTTTCCTTAGGGCAAAGCTGTTGGGGTGACTATTGGCTGCATTCTAGGAATGTTTCCTTTGCTTTTCCTTGGAGGAGGTGAAGAAGATGAAAAACTGGAAACGAAAAATTAACCCTCTTAGAATACCTATAAAAAGATGTAAACTAATGTACCTCAATTATTAAATATGCTGTCACAACGTTTAGGAATTAAGACAGTTAACAGTGTATAGATATGGGATCAAATAATTCAGCATGTATTATGGAAAACACTAACTTATTGTGGCTTGGTTTTCTTAGGACATCTTTTTAAAAACACTGTTTACTATCATTTTGTGTAAATTGTTGAAATGCTTGTTCATCAGTGGCGGTCAAGATTTTACCTTTTCCTTCTCTTTCTTTATATATCAAAATATCATTTAAGTATCAGTCATTGATGTACTGTACTGACTTGGGGTTTGCTTATTTGTCACTTAACATGTGTACATGCATGAAAGCATTTTTTGTTGTTGCTGTTGTTGTTGTTATTCCCTATAGTTACAATTCAACCTTAAGATTTTTTCCAAATTACTTAAGATGTTTAATACCAGTTAAAGATTTTTTTTGGCACCATCAATTTTGTACTGGTTCACAGTAAACATTTACAATCATATTTCAGTCATTTTTTTAAACTCTCACATCTATTCAAGAGGGATGCAGACGTTAAGTATTTTAAGTATTTATCACTCACTTTAATTTTCTGACCTTACTGTCTCAAGAGCCAAAGGTTAATAAGAATGAGCAATTATGTAGTCTCCCTACTACATAAAACCATATATGTTAATGAGTGTATTCTTTGGAGCTGATGTTTTTACTTTTACTTTTCAATTTTAAATAATTACATGGTAGTTTCTGACTGCTGAGGGGAAAAAATGATTATTTTAGGATACTTTTAATGGAGATTATGGAATCAGGGTGAACTAAGGGGTTTGACGCGACACTTGGAAATTAAGAGGCTATAAAAATTTTTTTTCAAGAAGTAGAAAATGGGAACTGTCAAGAAAGTTTATGATATAAGTGGTGAAATTGAAATGATGTTTGTCAAGTTAATGAGATAACAAATTATATTGTTTGGGAAGGATTTTTTTTTTTCCCCAAAGTGTCTTCTTCTCATCTGAATTGAATGAGTCTGAGTACTCCATACTCATAATCCTGACGTCATTGTATCTTGTTTAGTGAATTTTATTTCTGGATAACTTCTTTTGAGGTTTAACTAAATATTTTATGTTTTGCTTTTTGCTGTATATAGTCTAGTAGTCAAATGTTACATGAGGAGAAATCCTTTCTCCCTCTTTTGGTCTTTTTTCTTCTTTTGTGATTTTTAAATCATATTCTAGGTTGAAGTTACTTATTTCCAGTCTTGTCTATGGCACATAACAACAAAATATATCTGACTTAAGTATAATTGTGTATGAATTATAAATTTTAATTTTATGAACCCTCACAGTTTGTTAGTATGTGGTCTATTACACATGCTAAAAAATTACTCTTCTAAGAGTAACTAAATACATCATGGAGGAGAAAAACTGACATTAAAATTACTATTTGGGCCACTGAAGTTATGTTGCTAAATAGAACCAAAAGAAAGGAAACTTGTAAGATGGCTGTATTTACAGCTACCTTATTTTAAAGTTTTAGTTGCACATATTCACTTTGAGTTCTTATTTCAGAGGAGCTGTTTTTTCCCATAAGGCAACTTGTCATAAATCTCTTCTGTGCACTTCAGAATAACTTAGTGCTATCCTTTAATCATAGATTTTTGAGGGGAAAAAAAGAAAATAAATCATATAGTATAAAAATAAATATGTAACATTCTTCCTATGGACAAATAATATGACAATCTCGTTTGATCAAAATAGAACTTGACATCTTAAACAGAATTGTGGTTTGTATCTTCCACATAATACCACACACAAACCAAAAAAAATTTTTATTATTATTTCAAATGATAGGATTAGAGTATTATTTTAAAAAAATTTTTGTTTGTAAATGTTTAAGTGCTTTTGTTGCCTAACTTGTATTTCCTTTTTATTAATTAAATCCCATATCCACAAAACTTGCGTGTGAGTTTAGAAAGGGCTTTTGACTTTTGGTTTCTCTGTTTTGCTCTTGAAAATAACCCAGTCCTACAGAATCTTTCAGCTTAGCTGAACGTCTGCAGAATTATTTAAGGTGTCAAAACTTGGAATATATAAACTTCATATTGAAAGATATTTTAATTTATGCACTCAGTAAAAATTTGCGTCCTTCATTTTCAAAAAATGGAGCCCTTTTGTCTTTAACCTAAGGTACGCATTTTTTCAAGATCTTATTCTAAACTAGTATGGTGCTTTGCACAAAGTGATTTCTGAAAAATTGTTCCCTTTAAGATGACGACTTCATATAATCATTGTTTCATGTTACTTGTCGCAGAGAACCTTATTTCAGATTGAAACTGGAATTCTTCTCATATTAGCTATCTTTATTGGGAGCACTACAGCTATGATTAAATGCAACATGAGCTACTTTAGTACTGTTCGTTTGAAATTCCTGTTGTCCATGTATTATGACTAATTGACTTGTTGATGCATGTAAATTGGGTGCATTTTGTTGACACTGTATGTTATATGGTGACCAATGTTTTTACAAAGAAATTGAACAAAAAGAAATCTTTTAAGAAATTTGGAATGTGGTTTTGATTTTGAAATTTGATTTTCTTCCTAATCTCAGAAGGCCCTGGTTATTCTGTCGCTAAAGGAAATAGAATTAATAAATGCAGATTTGTTACAGGGTTTTAGCAATGTCACTGAGACAGTAAAATGGAACTATTTATCACCTCCCTGAAATCCACACTTGAGATACAACATTCTAGATTATGAGAGAAGAATGATCCCATATCGATGTCAAAAAAAGCTCGAGATAGATTGGCATAAATTACACTGATGAGTATTTACAGCAGAGATATCCAAGCCTTCTGTATAATAACACCTCATTTACTTCTTTTCTCTAGAAGGTGAATTTGGAAGGTAATGGAAGTTTATCTTTTACACAGAAAGTTTGTGTAAATCATTTTGAAGTAAATCTTCCTAATTTTATTTAATTAATTAATTAATTTTTTTGTGAGGGAGATCAGCCCTGAGCTAACATCCATGCTAGTCCTCCTCTTTTTTTGGTGAGGAAGACTGGCCCTGGGCTAACATCTGTGCCCATCTTCCTCCACTTTATGTGGGACGCCGCCACAGCATGGCCTGACAAGCAGTGCGTCAGTGCGTGCCTGGGATCCGAACCCCGGGCCCCCAGCAGCGGAGCACGCGCACTTAACCGCTAAGCCATGGGGCCGGCCCCAATCTTCCTAATTTTAGAATTATATTTTCTTGTCATCTTAAAAAAGTGTATTAAATGTAATGTAATCTTTTTCTTAGTGGCTAAGTATCATCTTCATGGACATTATTATTGTGCTGTAATACGGTACCTCAGGAATCTGGATTTTATAGTTTCTCATTTTCCTCCCATTTTTTTGCTGCTCTCACTTCTGGCAACTGCTTTCTCTCTCTAATTGGCTGCTTCTTGGCTGTATGGACTGAGAAACGAAACGATAGCCAGTTTTAGCATAAATTATTTGGGAAATATTAGAAAATAGGCTACGGAGCCTGAGTGAGATGATGGTGATGATGATGATGATAAATATAACGTTAGCTCTCTTTTATTAAGCACTTATTTGTTGCTATGTACTGTAGTATTTTACACACTTTGGCACATTTAATCATTTTAATAACATTAAGTTGGTGCTATTATTATCCCTATTTCATATTGGGTAAATTGACACATGGAGAGGTTAATTTGCCTGTGATGTCACTACTAATAAGTGGACTGGAATCCAGGTTTGTCCAGGGGTAAAGCCTATGTTCTTAACTACTATGCAATAGAGACATCAGTTGCATGGGCTTTGTAACAGCTGTTCTCTGCTTAGATTCCTTTTTACCTCTATTTTTGTGGAGCCATTTTCTCATCTATAAGAGAATTGTATGTATAATCTCAAAGTGCATTTAACAAATCCTGTGTTTTTGGATGCATACTATGTGCTAAGAACTATTCAAGGCACTGAGTGAACAGCCAAACGTCCCTGTCATCATGAAGCTTATTCTCTGGGTGGTGTCAGTGGGGGAGAAGAATTCAGAAAAGCAAATGTGCACAAATATTTTTCATGTCAGTGGAATAAGTTCTATAGAGATAAATGAAACATGATGAGGGGACTAGAAAGTACCAGTGGTCATATGTCGGGGGATATTTTTATACAGGGTGGTCGGGGAAGACCTGAAAGTAGGAAGAGCATAAACAATACTGCAAGGAGAAGTTATCACGCAAGGGGAAGGGATCATGCTAGGTTCTAGAAAGGTAAGAAAATATCCAACATATCAAATATATTTCACTTTGGAATGCATTGTAAGATGTTTTCCTGTTTGTTTTGCATTATTAATGTTTTCTGGATTAAGCCTAAAGATTAATATTTATATATTAAGATTAATACTTCCTGCATATATACTGACAGCAGTAGAGGGAAATGGCCCAGAAGCGTGGTGAAGCTACCCTGAAATTCATAAAACAAGTGGATAATCCATCAGCAAATAATTTAGGGTTTGTTATGTGCTCATAATGAAACCTTACTAACAGATCACTTATTTTTACCAAAGCAATAGATGCTATTGATATATGAATCGTAACACTGAAATTAGTTTTTTCTCCTTTAACTTTTAGAAATGGACTGGTAATTAAAGCAGGGATACATAACATTTTAATTTTGAAGTTTCAGGACTTTCTGAGTCTACTGATCTTATGCTGACAGCCATATGAAGCACATGGTGTTGTGTATTGATTTTTATATGAAAGTTTATAGCATCAAACATAAGTTAATGCCATTGAAAAGTTTGTGAATGAAAGAAATTTGAGCAAATTTTTTTATTGGCACAAAGATTAGAAATGTCGAGTAGGCATCTGAGATAATATACAATTTCCCTACAACTACAAGTCAAACTTTTTGTTTAAGTGAATAAAATGTGAGAATGATAACTAAAGAGTTAAAGGAACTACTTTTGGAGGGAGATGAGGAGAACCCTCAAAAACTTTAGGATAAAGGAATTTTCCACGAGAACTGTGAAATTCAGAAAAGACTTGCCGTTTGTTAATAATATGAAAGCTATACATTTATTTAGTGCTTTACCATTTATAAAATATTTATGCAGATGCTAGACTTAAATGGGGTTTAAGAGAGGTAGTTGAGTCAAAACTGTTGGCTACTTTAATTAGAATTAAGGTTTTTCCTTCTTGCATGTCAAGCGCACCACCACCATTCCTGCTCTGCAATGTGTTGATTCTTCTGTATGTCTTTCCCCTATATCTCAAGTGCATTTGTTGTCTTCCTTATTTTCTCTTGTTTTCCTCAACCTCAGACTGATGGAAATGCAGTTTTTAGAATGTATTTTATGTCCCACACTGTTACTTTAAAAGCATGTAAATCAAACATTTTCACTTTCCCACCCCCACTTGGAAGGAGGAAAACAAATTTTAATTAATTTAGTTCATTCTTTTACTGTTAACAGCTCTAACTGTTCTTTCTTCCATACCGACTCAGGTAAAG